ACATTAGTGATACAGGTCTGTAGTTTAGTGCCTCATGTCTGTCTCCCTTTTTAAAAATTGGGACTACATTTGCCATCTTCCATACCTCAGGGAGTTGCCCAGTTTCAAATGATGTGTTGAAGATCTTTGTTAATGGCACACACAATATCTCTGCTCCCTCTTTAAGGACCCACGGAGAGATGTCTGGTCCCACCGCCTTTGAGGTGTCAAGTTCGCATAGCAACTTCTTCACCTTCTCCTTGGTTATATGTACCTCATCCAGCACTTGCTGGTGTACCCCCCTGTTCTGATTTCCTGGAGTCCTACTGGTTTCCACTGTAAATACTTCTTTAAATCTCGTGTTGAGCTCCTGACATACCTCTCGGTCGTTTCTTGTGAATTCCCCATCACCCTTCCTATCTGATTACCTGGTCCTTGACTGTTGTTTTCCTCCTGATGTGGCTGTACAACAGCTTCGGGTCAGTCTTGACTTTCGATGCTATGTCATTTTCATATTGTCGCTGAGCCTCCCTTCTTATCTGTGCATATTCGTTTCTGGCTCTTCGGCTAATCTCTTTATTTTCCTGAGTACTCTGTCTTCTGTACCTTTTCCATTCTCTAGTACACCTAGTTTTTGCCTCCCTACACCTTTGGGTGAACCAAGGACTCGTTCTGTTCTTCCCATTATTTCTGTTTCCCTTGGGAACATACCTCTCCTCTGCCTCCTTGCATTTTGTCGCCACATAGTCCATCATTTCTTGTACTGGTTTTCCTGTCAGTTCCCTCTCCCACTGAATGTCTTGAAGGAAGTTCCTCATGCCTGAGTAGTTCCCCCTTTTGTAGTTTGGTTTTTCCCACCCTATTCCTGCTACTCTCTCCACTTGGAGCTCAACTATGTAGTCGAAGCACAGAACCACATGATCACTAGCTCCCAGGGGCCTTTCATACATGATATCCTCGATGTCCGAACTACTCAAGGTGAATACAAGGTCCAGTCTTGCTGGTTCATCCTCTCCTCTCTCTCTGGTAGTGTCGCTAACATGTTGATGCATGAGGTTTTCCAGTACCACATCCATCATCTTGGCTCTCCATGTTTTGGGACCCCCATGGGGCTCCAGGTTTTCCCAGTCAATCTTCTTGTAATTGAAATCACCCATAACTAGTAACTTTGCTCCCCCCATGTGTGCTCTCCTGGCTACCTCGGCTAGTGTGTCGACCATTGCTCTGTTGCTCTCATCATATTCTTCTTTTGGCCTCCTGCAGTTCTGTGGTGGGTTGTACATTACTGCAATTATCATCTTATGTCCCTCAGACTGGATTGTTCCTACTAAGTAGTCCCTTTCGCCCGTGCCATCCATTCCTTCAATTTTCTCAAAACCCCACTGGTTTTTAATGAGCAGTGCAACTCCTCCTCCCTCTCTCCTCCCTCTGTCTTTCCTGAGGATTTGATATCCGGATGGAAAGATTGAATCTGTTATTATTCTGGTGAGTTTTGTTTCTGTGAGTGCTATTATGTCTGGGGATGTCTCCTTGATTCTTTCGTGCTACTCCTCATACTTATTTGTTATTCCATCTGCATTTGTATACCACACCTTCAACTTCTTCTCTAAGACTGTGGTCTGGTAGGTGTATTGGGGTTGGGGAAGTGGGAGACCTGATAAGGAACTATGGGTGGTTGCTGTGGGGGTGGAGTTTGTAATGCAGTGGGTGGGGGAATTGGATGTGGCATGGGTGTTTTGGTTTAGAGTGCTTGGTTGCACTGGGGTTGACCTGGTTGGGAGGCTTTATAGGAAGTTGTGAGGGAGGCTGTATTTGATCTTCTTCCTGTGTCTGGGATCTCCTGTGTACTCACCTAATTGTACTCACCTAATTGTGGTTGCAGGGGTCGAGACTCAGCTCCTGGCCCCGCCTCTTCACTGATCGCTACTGGATCCTCTCTCTCTCTGCTTCCTGAGCTTTGTCATACCTCTTCTTAAAACTATGTATGGTTCCTGCCTCCACTACTTTACTTGCTAGGCTATTCCACTTGCTGACAACTCTATGACTGAAGAAATACTTCCTAACGTCCCTGTGACTCGTCTGAGTCTTCAGCTTCCAGTTGTGACCCCTTGTCCCTGTGTCCCCTCTCTGGAACATCCTATCTCTGTCCACCTTGTCTATTCCCCGCAGTATCTTGTATGTCGTTATCATGTCTCCCTGACCCTTCTGTCCTCCAGTGTCGTCAGTCCGATTTCCCTTAACCTTTCCTCGTACGACATTCCCTTGAGCTCTGGGACTAGCCTTGTTGCAAACCTTTGTACTTTCTCTAACTTCTTGACGTTGCTTGACCAGGTGTGGGTTCCAGACTGGTGCTGCATACTCCAGTAGGGGCCCTTTAACATACACAGTGTACAGTGTCTTGAACGATTCCTTATTAAGGTATCGGAACGCTATTCTCAGGTTTGCCAGGCCCCCTTTATGCTGCAGCGGTTATTTGGTTGATGTGTGCCTCGGTGATGTGCTCGGTGTTATGGTCACCCCAAGGTCTTTCCCCCTGAGTGAGATCTGTAGTCTTTGTCCACCTAGCCTATACTCTGTCTGCGGTTTCTTTGCCCCTCCCCAATCTTCATGACTCTGCATTTGGCTGGATTGAATTCGAGAAGCCAGTTACTGGACCACATGTCCAGCCTCTCCAGGTCTCTTTGCAGTCCTGCCTCATCCTCGTCCGATTTAATTCTTCTCATCAACTTCACGTCATCTGCGAACAGGGACACTTCAGAGTCTATTCCTTCCATCATGTCGTTCACATATATCAAAAATAGCACTGGTCCTAGAACTGACCCCTGTGGGACCCCGCTCGTAACAGGCGCCCACTGTGATACCTCTTCACGTATCATGACTCGTTGCTGCCTCCCTGTCAGGTATTCCCTTATCCATTGCAGTGCCCTTCCTTTTACAGCTCCTGGCCCCGCCTCTTCACTGATCACTACTAGGTCCTCTCTGTGCTTCTAGAGCTTTGTCAGACCTCGTCTTAAAGCTATGTATGGTTCCTGCCTCCACTACATCACTTGTTAGGCTATTCCACTTCCTGACGACTCTGTGACTGAAGAAATACTTCCTAACATCCCTATGACTCGTCTGAGTCTTCAGCTTCCAATTGTGACCCATTGTTTCTGTGTCCCCTCTCTGGAACAACCTGTCTCTGTCTACCTTATCTATTCCACGCAGTATTTTGTATGTCGTTATCATGTGTGTGTGTGTGTGTGTGTGTGTGCGTCAGGTTTGGAGGAAGCCAGTTAAAGTTTCCAGGTAGATACAGAGTTATTGACGTATTTAGTAAGATGAATTCACAAGTGAAATTGGTATTTATATTATAACTCTGGTATGAAGCTAAATACTTCAAGATTGATAATTTTTAATCAGTTTATAGTCACGTGTTTGTGGTCTCCAGCTGATGTGGAGGAGGAGGAGGAGGAGGAGGAGGTGGAGGTGGTGGCGGAGGAGGTGGAGATCCCCAACATCGTAGAGAGCCTCAGCAGCAACGTGACAGTCCGGACAGGAAACATTGCCACTCTCACTTGTCACGTCATTAATCTTGGAGACTCCACCGTAAGTTAACTACTGTATTAACAACTTACCTCTATACTGCGTCAGTTATATATTTCCCTCCTGTTTTGGTCAACTAATATATTGTATTTCATAACATATATTTCTTGCTGACTATATCAGCCTACAAAAAAGGTGACTAAGCGTCTTATCACTTGCAGGTATATTGGTACCGCGACAGAGACATAAATGTGTTAGCAGGTGGATCTGACGTCTTCATAATGGACGAACGCTTCAGGGTGGTGCATGACAACTCCGAGGACTGGAAGATTGAGATAACAGGTGTTCGTGCGTCCGACGCTGGATGGTACAAATGTGTTGTGATCGCACCGTCCGTTATCAACCACAAAATCTATCTTGCAGTTGAGGGTGAGTGATGGTGCCTCATCTACTTCTACAGTGGCAAGCGTTAAACTGTCGATGTTGTGAGAACACACACAAATCACAAGAAGCCATTGATATTTAATCTAACACACTGTTTTCTATGTTCCTCCTTTCAGGAAGAGAGGCGAGGATAGTGACAGAGGAGAGCAACAGAAACGCTACGGTGAAGGAGGGCGACACAGCCACCCTTAACTGCAGAGTTAAAAACTTAGACACAGACACCGTGAGTTAAGAGTGATAACGTGAATTAGTTATACCAACGTAAGTTAGTGACACGAAATCGAATTGGACCGGTATAATTAACGCAGCTTGAAACTGTGATCGTGACATTTAACCGGTTCCAGTCCAGTAATATCTTTTCGAGTCCACGACACTAAAACGTCTAGTCTGGGAGTCTTTATACCAGATCGGCCTAACTATTCGAATTGTGTCCTTTCATCATTGTCCCTGTTTCAGGCACTGTACTGTTCTTCCCGACAGTCCCGATGTGGATTTTCTTCATAAGTCTTTAGATAAAGCAAGCCTACTGTACCAGCTTTGGCTTCTATTTGCACTACCCTCCCTCCGTGCACGCCTTTTTTGAGAAATATAACCAATTCTTGTTGAGTGCTCCTCGTAAAAGACATTATGATCCTCATGCTGCAGGTCACGTGGACGCGAATGCGTGACCAGTATATTCTGACGGCGGCGGAGTACACATTCTCCCCTGACGAGCGCTTCTCCGCAGTACACGAAGGCGAGGAGTGGCGACTACAGATAGATGCTGTCAACAAGAGGGACGAGGGAGAGTACGAGTGCCAAGTCTCCACCACCCCGGCCACAACACAGGTTTTCTTTCTTAAGGTCATTGGTGAGTGCAAGTGAAGGTTATTAAAACACTGATGTGACGTAAATAAAAAAATTATGTGTCCCTCACAGCAATTTTGCGGAGTGTTGTAAATTTATAGTTTAGTTTACGGATGGATACAATCTTAGAGTGAGCCTCGGGGACCAGGTTTGGTGTGATGTGCACTATGTCCCTTTCTCTTCCTGAGTCCCCTCACGGAAGGTTCCTTGAAGTTGGTGAGGGGCTCTTGATTTAGGGAATTGGATCTGTGCCTCAAGCCTGAATGCCTTCCACATCCCCCCCCGAGCTGTATAATCCTACGGGTTTAGCGCTTCCCCCTTGATTATAATAATAATCTCTTCCTGAGTCTTTGCATGTCCTCCCTTTTTCTGTGGCCTCCCTCACAGGTAGTACTCTCACTGAGGTAGCACTCTTCCTCTGGGCTACCTTTCAGGTAGTGCAGTACGGTTCCTCTGGGCTACCCCTCAATGTTCAGACTGACTTTCACTTGTATTTCTGTCAGTGAAGATTTATAATAGATTAGCGAAGAAAAATAACTCCTGTTCTGTATTTCGACTTTTCTGCCGTTGCACCAGAGACACAAGGAGCACCTGGAGAGGTGTCAGTGCCGTCGGCGGCGGCAGAAGATAGCAACAAGGAGGTGTGGGTCGTTCCAGGTGACACCGCCACCCTCACCTGTCCAATACTAGACCCCGGCAACGATTCAGTGAGTCACTTCATTTTATCTTTTCATGGCTATGTTTAACCGATGATGCAGAGATATTCTCCTGAAAAGAATGGAAGGTGAGATAGTCACTTAACTTGCTCCTGGTGGTGGCGATTTTTACGAAAGAAATGTTTTAACTACCATTTTAAAAACCGTATGTTATAAAATTTAAAAAAGCATTTCGAATGACTTGGTCTGTTTACCTGGGTGTAAAAGCATTCGGTCAGTGCGAAGGAAATAATATGTGGGAATGAGAGTCGTGGTAGGTTTTTTTTTTTTATCATTTGAGAAAGCCCCTACCGATTTTATAAATTGCTGACTCTGCGGGTAGCAAGCAGCCGCTAAAATATTGTGCCGGGGTAGCAAAAAACCCCTCTCGCGTGCCCTAAGAACATGGAGGAGGAGTTTGGAATGGGTGAAATTCCCAGTCACTTAAAACAAGGATTAGCCCCCCCCATAAAGGGGCAGCAAAGCTTAGCTAAAAATTTTAAGACCAATAGCTCTGACTCCCCATCAAAAAAATCTTTAAAAATTTCTAAGAAGCAGAATTGCAAACACCGGGTTTCCCCAAAATTGCACAATCCAGGGCAACAGGGGTTTTCGGGCATCGCTCCTGCCTCCAAAACTAGGATCACATGAATGGCCTTGGATGCACGGGAAGAAAATCAGAATGCGAGTAAATACACAGACTTTGCAAAAGATTTGACAATGAATCAGGGCGTAATACCTAAAAAACGTGAAAAGGAAATAACTGGGAAAGGGGGGAGATGGATCTTAATTCCTAACAAATGAACACAAAGAGAGTGGCAACAGAGTTAAATCGGGGGGCTGCCATGTGAAGGCTCTGTTCCACAAGGCACAGATCGCCCCCATCTTTTTCCCTTTACCCATATAGACATAAACAGAGTATCACCACAGCACCGTATCACCTTTTCGGATAACAGGGTCTGTGGGGTGTCATCTGCTGAGGACGCGGTTTAACCCCCAAGAAGATATAAACAAAATTTTCCAGTGGGCAAAATTTAAAAAATATGTGTTCAATGGGACAAAATTTCCCAAACTCCCTTATGGAAAAACTGGGGGGGAGATAATAACAGAAACAGGATCTACTGCTCCGGGCCCAAAAAAGGCGGAAAAAATGTAAGGGGCCTGGGAGTAGTAATGTTGAGGCTCACTTTAAGGAACAACCGTGCCCCCGATCGCACGTGCAAAAAAAAAGATAGGAGGGTAATAGAACTTTCAAAACGAGAGTCCAAGCCCCTAGTCCTTTTCAAACACTTGTTCTCTTAGGGTGGGAAAACTGCTTTCATTACATCTCCATACAAAGCAGGTGAAATCGCAGATCAGAGAGGTACAGATCCTTTACGCAGTATAAGTTTGTCAAGCCCTTAATACTGGGAACGCTTTTAAAACACTTGACTTGACTCGTTGGAAAAGCAGGGGGGAGAGATATATCATAAATTTCACTTGGAAAATCTTGGGAAGGGTGGTCCCAAATCTGCACACAGAAATCACTCCCCACGAAAGTAAAAGACTGGGGAGGGGATGCAAATGCCCCCAAAAAAAAGTAGGGGGGGCCATTGGTACACTAAGAGAAAACCCTAAGTTCCGGGGCCCCAAAAATGTTCAACAGCCTCCCATCAAGCATTAGGGGAAATTCCAATAAACCCCCGGCTGCCTTCAAGAAGAGCTGGACAGATACCTAAAGTCAGTGCCGGATAGCCGGGGTGTGGCTCGTACGTCGGGTGCTGCGGCCCGCAGTAAAAGCTAGTTGCGGCCCCGACCACGGGGGGCCTGGTTTGGGACGGGGCCCCGGGGCGTTTTATCCCGGAAAAACCCCAGGTAACCCGGTATATCACTCGAAAAAAAACATTGGTAGCAAAGGGGTGAATATGTTTGGAAGAAAAGGAAACTCGCCAGGGCACTTCCTGTATTTTTTGGTCGCAGAGGGGTCCCTGTGGGCTGTAGAAACCCCTTTTAAAAAATAGAAATTGGCATT